ATTTTCTTAATTACCATTGGATTGGTAAATGGGATGTAATAGCTTACTTCTAGTTGTTTCTCGTCCGTGTTATCCTTTTCACAACCATAAATTATATTCCCTTCTATAATATCATCAACTTGCTTTACAAATTGTTCAGCAAAATCATCAGCAATATTTTGTATACTCTTATTTTTTCCAAGTAAGTTTATAATTTTGTCATCTACATCTTTCGTTTTCTGCCTATTTAAAGCATGATTTAATTCAAACCATAATTGTTTGCTATTAGATGCTTTATTTTCAAATCGAGACTTGAAGTAATCATTTTTTGCTGTATATATCTCATTATTTAATCAATTTCTATACTTTGTGTAAGCTAGCTTGTAGGAATTATTTTTTGGATTTTTTGAACTTTCTATAGCATTAATTAAACCTCTACAATACATCACACCTTCATACTCTTTTATGCCAAATATACTTTTGCCCAAAACACTCAGGTTCATATCACCTATTACAAATAAATCATGAGCATTACAGCAATCAATTAGTTCTCCTAAATCATTAATGAATCCTGTTTTACAATAGTTAATAATAATAATAATAATAATAATAATAATAATAATAATAATAATAATAATAATAATAATAATAATAATAATAATAACAATAACAACAATAATAATAATAAAACACAACACACTCACCAATAAAAAACACTTAATTAATATTTGATTACATCTAGGCTTATAATTAGTTTGAAATGCATTTTAAATCAGTAAAATCTATCATAAGAACATATTGTGCAATTTAAGAAAAGATCACCATATGAACCCATAATGATCCCATATTTACACTTACATGGTAAGTTTGAAAACATATAAGAAGTGTTTAGGAATTTTTGTGTTGCATTTTGAAAAAACTAAAACTAAAAATTTTTAATTCAAACTTGAAAAACGTTTGAAACTTGTTAAGTTGTATATCATATAAAAAGCCATAAATAAGCTGTAAAATGACAATTTTCCAGCTCTCTCTCTTAATGAGGAGAGGTTCTACATCAATTTAAAACTTTTGGGGGATCCCAATTTTGTAGTAATTTACTTGGCTGTATTTCACAAACGAGTAGAAACATTGAACTCAAAATTTGTAGTTTTCTTATTCTTTATTCATACAACACATGTGTCAAATTTCATCTGCATCTGAAAGGGTGATGTAAAATGACTGGTGATTTAATATAGAAAGACCAAACTTGGGACTGTTTTATTGCACAAACTCAAGATTCTGGAATTTATTGCTTTATATCCAGTTACCGCGTTTGCCATATCCCTTTTCATTATAATTTCCATTCCTTGCTGCCTTTTATTTTCTTGCCCAGAATAGTATATGATGTATCCATCAGAATTGAAGAACCTTTATCCTATCCATTTCAGGTTACTGAATTCTAAGAGATTAATGTGGTGTCCTACCATTTCGTTTTTAATTATCTCTAGTTTACTTTCAAACATGGTTCTTACATTCCACGTGTCTATTACAAATTGCCTGTTTATGCCAAATTGGCATGTTAGCATACAGCCAGGTTTCACCTTTTATTTTATTATTCATTTGGAAGTTGCACATTTTGAAATACATCAATTCCCACTGTTAACAGAAATTAAAAGAAAACCATGCATCTAGCTATGTGAGTGGTGTCTATGCTTTTATTAGATACTCAGAAACTCAGGAAAAAAACACAAAAAACACAATTCAGTTTCAATTTTGATTGACAAATGCAAATATTTTTAATATACTTAATGACCGCTTTATGTATAGATGTATAGATCAGTTGTACTTCATAAATATACTATACTTCATTATTGCAGTACTCATGAAGACTGTTACTGTTAAAATATATAATTTATTGCAAAGTTATAGGAAAGTACTTGATTTTTTTTTTAGGAGGTGTGCTACTTTTTGGAAAACTATTTTGTGTGGTTTGGAACAGCACGTTTGCTGCAGCATGGCACTAGTTTTAAACTTTATTAAGATATTTATGTAATTAAATTTTCTAATATTTTTTTCTTTTTGAATGAGCCACTATGGACAATGCTTATTCAACTTTCCACCTGTTTCTTTGCTTCCATATCTCTTTCATTCTGACCCTTTCCTCTCCTTAGTCCAAAGGGCCCCTGTCTTCTTTTTTGACTACTCCTCAAATCCTGGGAATTTCTTGAGTTTGGTCCTTATTGAAGACTGCTCAGTAATATCTGCGGTGTAATTTTGAGCGCCTCCAAATGCTTTCCAACTTCTTTAAACCACATATGGGTCATCTTTAATTTGGTGAAATATTTAAAGTCTTCCTGTTAATTTTTGCAAATTTAATCTGTAAAGATGTCCATAAAATGTAATATTTTTCTCATAGTGTCTGTAACTTCCTCAATATTTTTGTATAGTTCCTTGTTATGATGTCGTTGGAACTGATATGCAATTTTAATAAGATACAAGATATTCCTGAGAATTTTTCTTTCAGTAGTTTCCAATTCCTCTTAACGTTTTCTCCTTTAGAATTAGACATTCCATTGCTTACGATGCCTCTGGTCTAACTACTGTTGAATAATGCCAGTTTTGCATTGATGGAAATTGATTTCTTATTAAAAACATCTTTAGTTAAGTTTGCAACTAACTTTAATTTGTTAATTCTAAATTTAATGGCTTCTTTCTCCGAGATATTTTCCTCAATAATTTCTCCAAAAAACTTGAATTTTTTGATGATGGTGAATGGTGAAATTTGTAATAATATTAATATTCAATTATTTTGCATATATTTGTATTGCATGATTGTAACAAGAAAAGAAAAGCTTTACAACATGAAGGATCAAAAGGAAAAACAAAAATATTTTTATTTACTGTTCTTCCATGAAGATTTGGAATTAATGTGAATATGTGGATATTAGGGGGGTGAAGGAAGACATCAGGATTGCAAAAGAACACTTTTACAAAAATAAGCAAGAATTCAGAGGTGAATGTATGTTGCAGAACTCAGAAAAAACACAGAATTGGAAACATGGATACATATAGGTCAAAATAATACAAAAAATGGAGGATTAATTTAAAATTCTCTCAATAGTTAATTAATTAAATTGATTGCAGACTAGTGTATACCAACACAATTATATTAGATTTGTTTTATAAACATGTGATCCAGTCATTGAAATGCAGGGCCCAGTTTATTACCCCTCCCCCCCCTCCCCAAGACAAAATGTGCACTAACTGGGCATTTAACTATCTGTCATTTTAATGTTGATGTGAGATAAATTAGGTGGAATTTTTTAACCAGTGAGCTTCAAATTTAACTTAATGGAACACATTCATCTATCCTAAAATATGATTATTAATGTACAACTATGTGAATATAATGTATAATATGTAATGACTTGTTTTTATGTCGCTTTGGTATTTTCTATCTTTCTGGTATTTTGTAATTTTTGTACTTAATAGTACAAACTTGTAAATTTTTTTTCACTGTTTAAAAAGTCTTCTTTCTAAAAATCTGCAGTTAATTACCCTATTACTAATAAATAACAATAAAGAAATACTACAAAAATATTGAGGTAATGTACACCATGTAAAAATTCAAAGAAAAACACATTATTTTCTCACAACTTCGCTATTCACACAGAGGAAGGATTTTGGAACTTTTAGTGAACCAGCCCTGAGCCACTATCCTTATCACCATTTCTTTAGGAGATGTAAGAATAGATATTTTACATAGCATCAGTCAATATCAAAATGATCAAGCAGGAGCTGAACATTAATGTGAAAGAAATGATAGTGCACTTAGCACTTTGCTGTTATTTGTGACAAGTAGAGACGTGGTGAATGACAGTCATTCCATTGCAACATTCAAAGGAGCAGAGATTGGAGCAAGAAAACAAAGAACAAATAATCATTTACAGGGTGTACACTCATTTCTTGGGACAAATTTCCTTGACTACCCTCACAACTTCCTGTTTTTCCAGATTTTTTAAAATCTTAGGTTGATAAGAATCTTAGGTTAATTTCACACTATTTAAAGAAAATATTAAAGCCAGCCTAATAATAATTGGTCCGATTTCACTCTGCGCAGGTACAGCAATATTTTCTCAGCAAAAATTAACGTTGTAGTTAATTAAGTTAAACCAAAGCATATCTATTACTATAAGGCTCTGAAAATTTTCCCTAACTTCTAATGTTTCTTCTAACAATTCCATGATTTTTCCCTAACATTTCCAGAGCAATGAAACCTAATTTTTCCCGGTTTTCCAGAAAGTGGCCACCCTGATTTAAACCCTCATAAGTGTTTCTCAATTCCAACTCTCAGTGAATGAATGCAAGGAGGTAAACTATCAGGCACTTCATAGTGTCTTATGAACTCATGGTATCATGGACAATCAATACAAGAGGCTGTTTATAAGCAGAGAAAACTATAAAAGATTTGCTTTCGCAAACAAGCACATCAATGAAGGTCAGGAATTAAGGGACAGGCAAAACTTCTTTATTTTGGGCTGTATATGTCAAGTCAAAAGGGAGCAAAATCAAAAGAGGAGCTAAAACGTGTGGAGAAGGAATGGTTCTAAATATGTGCCAAATTCTGCCAGAATCTTGTCCACTCCATGAAGAGTGCATGTCTAGTTGTGATTAAAGCACTAAGATATTCAACAAAACATTCAAGTGTAGTTTATTATGTTGATTATTTTTTAATTTTGAGTCATTAGTTTCAGTGAACAAACAGCAAGTTGATTGCAAATGAAAGCATCTATTTTTATCTATAATAAATTCAAAATTATACTATAACTTGATGGCTTTTTTTTTTTTTTTTCCTACATGTAGTAAGCTATTTCATTTCGTATCAGCCGCTTTTGATACAAAATTAGGTTATTTTGAAGAAGATATTAACTTCTCTCATTGTTCAGCGATGTGTACGAACACGATATTCTATAAGTGGAATAGCAACGGATGCCAAACTAACTCGACAGTTTTACACCATGAAGCAGAGAATAAGTACTAACCTGCACACACAACCAACTTCGGGAGTAGTTCATGAAACTTCTACGATTTGTAGTATGTAGTTTTAGACATTTTTTAATACTGGGAATATCTGCAGATCGACTATTTAAAACATTCACATTTGTATAACACAAACAACGCACATTTTTCATGTACTGTTCGACCCTTGGAACACGAGAAAAATAGTTCAAAAACATCGTCATCAGCATAGAAGACCTTATAATACTCTGACCTTATAATACTCTGGTTTTACTATATGCTGAAGCGCGCAAAGATGTACATTTCCCCTGAACGCAATTTGCTATATCTGGTGGAAATAACATATTATGATGATCTGAACTATTTTCTCAGTTTTTTCCAGTGCTCCTGTTTTTGGCGAGTTTTGGCCCCAATTTTGGCCTCGAAAGGGGGGCACTGGGCAGAAGGTGCACCGATTGGCACAGCGAAGCCATGACGCAATAATAAAGGAGTGCTGTTTGCGCAGTCTAACCTGCTTTAGCCAATGAGCTTCACGCACTTGTTTGCGTCACAATAATAGCGGAAATTTTAAATGCAACCAGCCACCAAAACCATCACATTGTTACAAGTAATTGATATTGATATATATATATATATATATATATATATATATATATATATATATATATATATATATATCGCGTCAAAATATGGTATTCTTAACTACATCAAAAACATCGCCTTTACAAATTAACAATTCAGCCTGACTCCTCCCGCATCAGAATAGCTCCCACCTCTTGCATCCGACACACATCGTGTCAGAAAAGCGTCTACTTGTTTGTGTAAATTGCGCGCCCTTCATATGTCTCTTACCTGCGCGAAATTGTACTCAAACGCGTCTCCTGTTCGTTTCTAGTGCGCAGACCCTTCAATTTCTCTCACACAATATATATCCTGATTGGTCACACAATTTTTAACACAGTATCTGTTTATTCTTTGGTTCTTGTTTCGTTATAACTTTCTTAATTTATTTTTGTTTATTTTCTCCCCCACGGAATGTGCTCACGTGTCCTTTCGACGCATTATTTATCGATGCATTTTGTATATTTCCCGCTATGAATTATGTTGACTCGTCCTTGTTTTCTTAACTCACTCTGTTTCTTTTCTGACGCCCCATTGTTGCTATTGTCCGTATTTATAATTATGTGAATTTATTGTTCCAGTTTATTTATCCCTGTGATAACCCATCACAGTACAGTACTGAGTCAGTAAATCATATTGAAAAATTGCGTAATATTTTGAGTCAATCAAAATGAGTTTGATTTTTATTGTGCAATCTAGAAAATATTGTTTCGTCAACTCGTCAGATGTATTTTCACAGTATTAGAGTGAACATAGACTAAAATAACTAGAGACAACATTTTAAAAAATTAACAATAGGAAGATTTGCTTCGCAAATATAAAGAATTTTATCCTCGGAATGATAAATCGCAATTAGTAAAAATTTATTCGTTGTGCACTCACTAACTTCAGGATGGGAATTAAAGCGAATGAAAAATTTCAAAAACTGTGTTGGGATTAATCTAGGTAGTAATATATTAATTGTGTTAATCAATAATAATATTTTTATTAATTAATTTCGTTATACTAATTATTTATATGAGTATTAATTAATATTTTAATCAATATTAATATATTGATATTAATCAAGGCATTCTACCATTACCTTGTCTCTTGATATACGAATCAGTGGTTTTTGTCAAATGACTTTCTTAAGGTCGGGAATAAATTTTCAGCAATCGCCGATGCCTATAACTACAACACCACATAGTACTCATTCATCAGGTGACAGTATCAACAGCTCACTACAAAAAATGCACATACAATACATGTACATTATTTTACAACACATTGCTAGATGACATTAAACAATTAAATTCGATACAAAAGTTTAAGTCCCAAGTAAAATCTTTACTGTTGCACAACTGCTTCTTTACAATTAGAGACTATACCGAGCTTCTTGGTGGCAAGAACTCTACCTCTACGCCGTTGAAATCCATGAAAACAGTGTCCAGCACCTTCATATTCGATTGAATTTGTTCTTCTTTTTTGTAGTAATATTAATTTTAACAATGACATTTAATATATTATTTACCATTTGGATTATATAATTCTAAAGAACCTGCAACAAGTATTATACTTCAGCTTGTGGGTCAAGGCCCCTCTTCTCGATCAGGTTTTAGTACAGTTTTCCTGATCCTTGAGCAAATACTGAGATGGCGCCTTGTTTTGTTACTGGACATAAATGTAACGTCAAATTAACTTCTCCCCATAGTACGTCACGCACAGTTTTAATTAATAAATAAAAAGACATAATAGAATCAACACATGGTATATTGAGAAAATTAAGTTTCTCGCGGGCCAGGAAGAACCAAGTACGTCAAAAATACAATTTAGATAGAGTGTGGCGACAAGGAAGAAGATAAGGATGATACCGACGATGTGGACAGTAGTGAAGGAATGGATATTACTCGCGCAACTTTTCTTGAACGATGACCTTGAACCCCCTCCCTTGTGCAAGAAACAGTTGAACGCAAAAGCTCGCAGCGGGCACTGATGACAACCTTCCAAGCATTGAAACTTCGTTGGCGCGAAACAGAAGCTAGTCAAAGCCAGTTGCTTTCATAATGCAGAACGCCTGTTCAGGTTTATTATCAATATCGAAAGAAATGGCTGAGTCAGGTCCAGGTCCTTCAAGAGAGTCACCTAAAACTCCCGAAAAAGTTAAGCACAAGATGCAGTTTTGACTTTCATTTCACAGACGTTGGCATTACTTAAAATAATCTAGTGGCCTACTTTGTAACTAATACCCCCACTCCACCCGAAATCGTCAATCCATCGTTCAAGAAAAGTTGCCCGAGTAATACTTCTACTATCGGTGTAAGTCATTAGACATTTTATTCACTTATACATTTACTTCAAATTATGTTGTCATGACACATATTCCTCATTATTAAAGATATCTCAATAATCATCTCTGATAGCTTTCGCAATTGTAGGTTAATTTCTTGCATGTGTTGTCCGAAGTAATGTTGATTCTCTAATATTGGTTTCCAACTTCTTCCGACATTTCCTGACTCAAAATCTTCTATTTCTACACATTAGCTATACATTTTTGTCTATGACTTGATTCTTCTTTAATAATTGTGCAAACAAGAACTTGCTAAGATAATTATTTGAGATTTCTCTGGCGATATATTCTGTACAAATTATTCGAAATTTAAGTGACCCAGTGCCACTAAGTGCATTCCTGGGTCAGGGCTAAAGTTCATCATTGAGGTTTCCGATTCGATTCTTGTAGAAACCCCGTAGAACCTCGTGTGTAATTTGTTGCGACAAAACGAATTTGCGAGCTTTACAGGGGCTAGTCCAACGTCTGTAAAGCATCCTAAACCTTACCCCTATCTTCACTCCGAAATTCTGGCCGATCGGTAGATGACGCGAGTGCGAAGACGCTACCTGTCGGCGATTCCCTGACGCGACTGCAACTGACGAGACGGCTACTCAGCGGCCCCTAGAGGGCGCGTGTAACGGAGGATTACTCCATAGTTCGCTCATCGCTCCGTAAAGAGCTAGGAGAAGCGTTGCGTCAAAGCGCAACATTTTTAAAAAAAGTCGCACATTACCCCATGCGATTCTAACCATGCCCCGTCTATAATGCTATCCTAAACACCTAGTCTCTATTCACTGGACACACAGAATCACAATATGGAAACAACCAAGGATCTTTTACTATCACTGAATATTTTCCTCGTTTTCGTGAAAGTACGTAATATAAATTTTGAATTTTTTAAAATAATTGTATTTTACTTACACATATACTTCATGCAGTGTATTGTAGATTAGCAATTTTCCATTACAATTATGCCTGTGGATTGTGGAGATATAGCACTTGTGACTATTAAGTCTTCAAAAGTATTTCCAGTCACTAGATAACGTAGTGTTATTGACAAATGCTTTCTTGGAGGGTAAGTTTCTCCCATTATAGTACCCTCTTTTGACTTCGAGGTATAACTATTCTCAACAGTTAATCAAATAATGTATCGTATATTCACAGAAAGTTGAAAATCACCTAGTTAAGTAATTCTTAGTTCGGTTAAAAATGTTCACGAGTGTATTCATTTATTTTCTTGAACCATTCTTTCAATCACCTACGCTTCTTATTCTCCATTTTTCAATCTATAAGTAACGCAATGGCCGCACAACTTACTTTTTTCTTATTATTCCACATTTTGACAGACGAAGTGTCGGTCGTGAACTAATTAAGTGAGCAAAAATATTGCCAATGTGTAGGTGGGTATTGCGCAATGTATTGACGTAAATATTAAGCTATTGATGTAGGGATCGCTTCACTAATTTATGCTCGGAACATTTTTTTGTGTCCAAACTGAATTATATGTTATATTAAGAAGTAATCGCTAATGAATGACACATTTAAAAGGTCTTGTGTACAAATTTGACTTTTGATAGGTGATAAATTGTGTTGTGAAAACGCAACACTAGACACATATAATATACATGTGTGATATAATAAATAAAAGTGACAATGTTTAAGTACGTGAAATATGAAACAATTAATTAAAAATGTAATAATTATGCTTTAAACATTTTGTAAGTAGTATAGTTCAAATCATTTGTTTTACAACACAAATCACAGTCTGAAAGCAGCGACGCGAGAATGCCCGAATCTTCAGCTGAACATGTATAGCACCTGCCTATAAAAGGGTATCTTTCCTAAGCGATGGAAGAAGCAGCAGTTGGTCCTAGTGGACAAGAGTAAATGTGGACTGCTTGTACCATCGTCATACTGGTGGCTTGCTCAACACGACTCGAAAGCTACTAGAACAGTTGCTCAAACCACGCCTGCTGATGCCTATTCGTGCTGGCGGAAACCTATCGTACAGACATGGTTTTAGGACTGGGCGATCTGCTGCGGACACAGCCCAAATTGCAGTGAAAACCGTTGAGTAACACGGCAGGTAGAGCATCACACCCGCAAAATAGAGCTGTTGGTAACACGAGTCGCGCGGAACGCTTTTAATTCCTCTAAATGGACGGATATCTTAATGGTTCTGGAGAAGAAGTTTTAGGTTCCACCCTCCATCCTACGAATCCCCCCAGTGACTACTTGAGCCAAGAGGACACTAGTCTTTAACACTGCAGACGGTCCCCGCAACAGATGTTGCGGCGGTAGTAGCGCAAAGATCGATTCTGGGACCAGACTTATGGACGACATACTTCAAGAACTACCAGAAGATACTGCCCTGAGGGGGTCCGACGACAACATTACAGCTGTTGTTCAGGCACGCACGTTGACAGAACTACAGTGGAAGCTCAACCAGGTGATGTGACGCGTCACATAGACAGGATAGCAAGGGCTTGACCTTGCTACGGAAAAGACAGATGTCCTTCTGTCAAGAAAAGAGATCCCGACGCTGATTT